CTCAACGCGCACGCGTCAGCCGCGAGGGGCGGACTCGTTGGAGGAATTAGCAAAAACAGAACCTTCTGATTGAAGGAACACTTGTCCTGCACTCTGCAACCAGGGTGCAAATGAAACGAAGAGCATGCAAGGTCATAGTGTTTGCCACATCCCAGTCGTCGAAGCTCGGAATTTGCTTCAGCACTTTCACAACTCCACGCAGCAGCCGAGACATCTCCTCCACTGGGAGGTGCTTGCCCAGTTTCTTGGAGGTCGGACCCTCGAGCACCCGCCTTTCGTAGGCGGCAAAGTTGGCAACGCACAGCATGGCCAGGCACAGAGAGTACATGTCCTCGGATCTCTCCAGTTCCTCGGCCAAGAAGTTTCTGAGCTCCTTCTGCCTCAGGGAGATCAAGCCGCCAAAGGGCAGTCGGATGGCCGGGTCCACCGGAGTCTCCGTGGAGCTGTCGTGCAGGGCCTCCCGCTCGGGACCGGCTGCGGGACCCGCGGCTGCGGGACCCGCGGCTGCGGGACCCGCGGGGCCCGTCGGCACCTCGGCCGCTCCCGCGCCTGGGTCCGCGGCGTCGCCGGCGTCGCCGTGGGCCGTCGGCGACGCCATGGGCGAGTCCGTCACGGAGCGGTCGTCGTCCTCCACGGCCTCAATCGTGATGTCCTCTGGGCGTGCAAAGGGGGCACACTCGTAGGAGGCGGCACAGGCAAAGTAGCGGAGCGTCTCGGTGCGGATGGCGGAGATGTGCTTGTAACGCTTCACAATCTGCGGCAGCCAGTTCATGATGTCCTTGTGCATAGGTAGCCGCTCTTGCGACACCCAAGCCCAGGGCAAGAGCTTGGTGCTCACCTCTGGTGCGATGTACATGGCCTGCACCAAGGTGTGCCTCAAGCACACGATGAGGTGTTCAAAGATGAGGCCCAGGTCGAAGTCGTCCATGAACTGAGACAGGGGGCTATCTGTGGGGCCGCCCTTCAGCTTGTTCGCGCACAGGTCCCTGGGCGGGGGCCCCTTGGCCTCCCGCTGGAAGCGAGCTAGAGACAGGTTGATGCAGGAGTGCAGCACTTCGAAGTAGGCAGTGGATCGGGTCACCCGCAAGAATGGGGAATCCAACGGCTTGCAGGACGCCTCACGGAGCAAAGCTGTCAGGTAGAACAGGACCCGGATGTCGGTGGCAAGCAACTCTGGAAGGTTGCCACCATGGCCCTTGTCAGTACTTCCTAGATGAAGCATGACCTGCACCTTGTCAAGGACCTGCATCAGGCCGTCCACTGCGGCCTTCACATCGCCGTCGGAGAAGCCTGAGGGGAGTTGCAAAATCTGGAAAGGCCTGCCTACTCCAAAAGCCAGTCAGCAAGTGAGGCCAGTCAGCCGGATGGGACTCTCGCGCCTCCATTGGCACGCTCCTTTACATCATCTGCATCCTGGGCGACGGCTCCGGCACATATCATGCTTCCTTTGCATAGGCAATGATGGCACTGCTTTCTGGATAAATTTTCTGAGTTCAAGTTGTCTGGCCTTCGTGTACATGTGCGAGGCTCGGCCATGCCGGAACATGGTGCACAGCAGGACCTTCGCATTGCGAGGCTGCGCGCAGTCACTGGCCACAACTTGAACGATGTCAGCATGAAACTTGAGATCTCTCTGCCAAAAGCCTTGCAAGCTGGCCTTGGCATGTCTGATGTGGATATGTGCTTGGCGCTGCTCAGGCCAGCACATGTAGCAAGGCAACAAGCTTGTTCATGAGTTCTGCTGCAGCCACTTCCACCTTGCTACCATCCTCAGCCATGGCCAACTCACTCTGGGCATCTCAGGAGCGTTGCGCAGTGCCACCGAGGCTGTGGCCAGCCGGTCAAAGTCTGCCACCGTGACTTCGAAGGAGTCCCTGCAGACAAACACGTGCGCCTTGCCTTCCTGACTCGAATGCTCCAAGGCGCTGCAGGTCTTGCAGCATGCCCAGAAGGTCCAGCTGCTCATAGGCGCCATGGCAAACACTGCGGGACACGGACACCGCCTGGCACGTCGCATCAAATCCGTGAGTCAATGACGTGGGAAAAGTCGAGTCTTGCCGCATCGAGCGCATTGACAAATCCGAAAACCCTCACACCCCGAGCCTCACAGAGGATTGTCCTGGAGAAGTGCTCCACCAGCGGCGCCAGGGCCGCGTTGGCCGCCAAAGACTCCTGCATATCGTGCGCGAGCGAAGCGGAACCCCTTGTTTGGCTGGGTGTTACGGGGAACCAAGAGGACACCAGCCATTTAGGGGGCCATATTTTTAAGGCACACCCACGGCGCATTTGTGGGGAGAATCGGTCAGCTCTCAACTCATCCAATTTTGCGTCTCCTTGACCTCCTGAATCAGCCTTCGGCGGACCGCAGCCTGCATACGACGCAAACCACGACCCACGCCCTTGTTCAGCTTTTGGCCAGCTACCATCTGGAAAACCAGCATTCTGCTGTCTGCTGTGTACGCTCGTTGAGCCGAGGACAACCAACAAGAATGGAAATGCAGGGTGAGTGTGGTTTCAGTTTGCTTTGCTGGCGCCAAGAACTGGCTGCGGGTCGGAAGCCGCTTGGAACGCTATTGCTTCCGTGAAAGTCTCGGCTCCAGGCCTTCTCGGCCGTCTCGGAACTCCCCAGGCTCAAGGAAGACGTCACGGCCATGATGTACCTCGAGAACATCCGGGCGACGGGCGACGGGATGGGCTCAGGCTCAATGCAATCCAGGCGCTGCAGGCAGGCAGTCCCCTCGACGCCGAAGTCATTCCTAGGCCGACTCTGGCTGATCCCACATAGAAACGCCACCTCCGTCCCATAGAAACGCACAATTTGTCCTTTTGGCCTCCCATATGCCAGCGGCCTGCCCCACCCCGCGGTTTGCTTTGCCATGGCTCATGCACTCGGGTGCCACGAAGGAGCAGCGGCTCAGCGCGCGCAGGGCCATGAGCCGCGCCGACAAGGTCTCCGCCCTGCCGAAAGCCCCGAACCCGGAAGGAGTCTCCACTCGCCCGGCCTTCTGCTTGAATGACTAGCCGAAACCGGCTCTCCCTTTTCTGTGTGCGTGTAGTTCTATAGTCAAATGCTCTACATGCGTCGTGTCGTCTCTCCTTGAAAGCATCCAGTATTTAGTATGAACCCATGTAGAACATACACAACAGAGTGTAAGAATATATGAGAAACTTATCTGCAACACCAATTCAAGATGGTTGGACTGATCAAAAACAGACCGGATGGAGCCTTTGAAATACTTCAATTCATCCAAGAGCGCTGGGCAACATTCAAATGCGAGAAGCTTGCCTTTCTGCCGGTGTCTTTTTTTGGGATGGCATGCATGTATCAAAGAAACTACGTCCTTTCCCAGAATATAATTGTGCGGTGTTGGTCCACAAAACGCGACATTTACTATATTCGCTGCAACCTGCACCTACTTGTATGCTTGCTCACCAAGGTACGAAGTCATTGTTACCCATGCGCATCATAATCAACCAGCTAAAAAGACGTCACGTACAAATCATGAAATGGAAGGGATGCTGCTTCACAATGAATTCTACCCCGGGATTGAGGAGTGTACTGTATGATTGTATGTGTGGGGAAGTCTGTAGCCACTGAATGAGAGGTTCCTCCTAGCTGGAAGGGCAGTCAGGGATGATCTTGGACTTGATCAGAATTTGAGAAAGACCTCTTGGGGCAGTGACGAGCATTCGCAACATGGACTGCCACTTATGCTGATAACCCTCCTAGAATGTGCGCGAACGCTCTGGGCCCATGCCTTGGCCCAGAGCAAACACACACACAGAGACACACACACACACACACACACACACTGGTGGGGCATGCATCGGGCCTGGAAGGCAGCACGCAAAGCAGGCGGAAGAGCTGCTCCTGCCCAACTCCCGCGGCTCCCGCTCCTTGACCTCTCTCTGATCTCTCTGGTAGCCCGGCCTGCGCAATCTTGGCGAGGTCGGCGTGGCAGCAGCTGCGGTCCAAGATGCAAACCAAGTACTCCACCTCGTCCTTTCATCGAGCAGCTCGAGGCGCCCGGACGCCCCAACGACCCCATTCCGTCCTTGACGGGGGGAGCCTCGCCCAGTGTACTCAGCTTCTTCTCCATTCGCCGCAGCACTCGCAGGAACCTCGCGTCGAAAGATAAGAAAAGGATCAATTTGGGTCCGAAGGCTTCAAATCGTCTTGCTACGGCTTGCACCCGGAACCGAACGTTCCAAAGGCCCCTCAACCCCGGAATGAGCCCCGGGCTTGTCGCTGTTCATGAGCACTTGGCAGCTCGCCTGGCAACTCGCTTTGACCGCCACTCGAAGTCGGCTTTTCAGGTCACCCTTTCCTGTTCCTCTTTGTCCTTTTTCTCCTTTTGCCTCCTTCAGTTGTCTCCGCGCCTTGTTGGAGCTCATGGCGCAGAGCACCAGCATCACGGGCACCCGCAGCGTGGCCGTGGGCAGCTCCAGCAGCGCCACCAAAGGCGCCTCCAGATTCATCGCTGCCATGGCCTCCAGCCGTTTCGAGCTTTCGAGCTTTCGAGCCGTTCCGAGTCCTGACTTGGCTTTGGCCGAGACTTGCTTCGGAACTGTGCTTGGGAATGGGCGTCTGACGCGTGCGGCTTCGCTCGGCGCTCTGGGGCGGGCGCTGATAAACCGTGCTCATTGGCCACCAGGGCTGTGAGCAGCTGGGCGATGATCCTCAATTCGGACTCGCGGATTCACGCGACTCGTGAGAACTGTTGTGAGCTCTTGGAAACTGGGGCCGTCATGCCTGACTTCTCACTTGCCGGCCTGAAGGAAGCATCGGCCTTCGCCACCTCGTCTGCAGAGGGGCGGCGCTGTCCTGACAGTAGACAAGACAGAGGCTGGCAGTATACCTACAAACGACCGGGGCTTCACAGGTGGGTCAAATGTTCACAACTGTGCAGTTGCCTGTTCGTACCCTTCATCTCCTACCCACGTCCAAGAAGGCTGTTCACACCAGCATTGGCATGGCTTCCAAAGGATAGCCGCCCTATTTCATTCACTCCCACCGGGGGTGAATCTGAAGGAAGGCAGATGTATACATGACGTTGGTGATCATCGTGCGCAGAGTATGCATGTGTCCCCTTCTTTTCCCATTCTTTCTCCTTCTTTTCCCCTGTGCCGATTCTCCTGGAAGCAGCTCGTGCGGGGCCATGTGGGCGCGCTCTGCCTCCAGGTCCTCCGTCAGCAGGTGGCCCCCCTGCAGCGCGTTCCAGCGCTCGTAGCTCTCCGAGAGCTCCTGGAGCCGCTGCGCGATGCAGCCGAGCACGTCCTCCGCCACCAGCGCCACCACCATGGACACGTCCACCTCAACCCGAAACAGTTTTCGACAACAGGCGAGATGCAGCTCCTTGTCAGGACGACAAACATTTCTTGTCTTGATTGTCTTGTTTTTCAACAAGACGAGGGGGTCCGATTCCTCTCGAGTACCCCCAGCTTAAAAGTGTCCTCTGTTTTTGTTGCAAAAGGACGCCAAATACAAGCATAAGTATGCAGCATAAGATGTCTTTTTTTGCCATGAGAAAGCATCGCCTCCACCGCGAACAGCACCATGTGGAGCATGGCATCCAGGCTGTCGGAGGGCTGGACCGCCCGCTGGGGGTCCTCGGGCTCCAACTTCTTGCGATGCACCTGTCGCCCGGCGCGGGTCGGGCATCAGCAACTTGAACACTCGCACCGAACGCCCGGACGCTCACCGGGGACGAAGAAGGGGGGGAACTCGGGGGAACTGGGGGACAGAAAACAACGGGCCCATGTGAGCGCACGAGACGTGCCTTGAACCAGCCCACGAGGCGCTCGCCCACGCCGAGGCCACGCCACCGGGTCCAAAGGTTCACAGAGATGGAGGACTGCAGCAGCCCGGCGATCAGATCAGCGGCCACCTTCGACAGCTCCGGGGGCTTCCGGCCGTCCACCAGCAGCTCCATGAGGTATCGGTCCAGGTCAGGGATCCGCATCTGCTGCACTAAGACCTGGCAAGTCTCGCATACGGCAGTCCGGAAGTCCGGAGCCGAGGCATTGCGGAAGGAGAACGTGGCAAACACGTCTCAGAGGAGAAAGGAGACTCGTTGCTTGCTTCTTTTTCGCTTCTGTTCTTTTCTCTTGTTCTCAAATTCCCCCCCCCCCTTCGTGTCTTTCCTCTCCCACCCCCCCAAGCTTTTGCTCCTCGTATTGGAGGCAGTGGTGCAGCGTCCGCAGCGCGATCTCCCAGAGCGCGTCCGCGTGGCGCCGCAGCTCCTCGCCGGCCTCGGCCTCCGCGGCGTTCTGCGCGGCCCCGGCGGCCCGCACCATGCGCGGCAGGATCTCCAGGTCCGACCACAGCTCCGGCGCGCACGCGCCCAACGTGCAGAAGTACCTCGGAAGACGCTTCCAAAAAAAACTGGGAAATATGTCCAGTCTAAGTCTAAGTTTGAGAGACATTCGAAAGAAACTCGATGGCCCGGAGAATGATCAGAATCCGGCTGCTTGCCCGGGCGCAAGGACTCGAAGGCACGGATCTGGATATCCGGGAAGTTCTCCATGTAGCTGCTGGCCAGCACCAGGATCTCGCGGCTCAGGAACTTGCGGCGCTGCTCGCTGGGCGCCTGCGACATGCCGTGCAGGATCTCGATGAGCGCCCGCCGCGACACCATGGCGTCCTCCTCCGCGGAGATCCGCGACACGAACATCAGCATGCCCCGGTCGGGCTTCACCTCGTCCCGGGACATGCTGGTGTAGTAGAGGTTGGCGCAGCCTCAAATCTTGGCTCACTTCGTTCGCCTCCCTGCCTGTTCTCAATGCAAGGCCCTGACATAGAAGGAGCAGACCCACCATGCCCGATCACAAAAACATGGCTCACTCTCTCGCCAAGCAGCACATGATGTACTTGTGGAGGGAGGAGTCCGTCTTCTGGCAGTTCTGGAAGAAGTCCGCCATGGCATGGAAGATGCGCCCTGAGACTGCCGGCTCCTGACAAAGGCACGTCAGGGTCGAGAAGATCAGGCGCCGCAAGGACGGCGAGGTCGCGTCCGCTGGCATCACCTGGCGTGTTCTATTGCGAGACCGCATTTTGGCCGGGGTCGTCCTTTCAACGCAGTGGACAAAGCACGTCATCAGGCAAGCGCTGATTTTTGTTCAAGCACTTCTATGTCTTGCGCCGGATTTTGAAGTTGGGTCAACGAAGCATAGATTCGCCATCTCTCTCGGGGAACCTCCAGCAGCACCATGAGGATGCGCGGCTCGCTGTGGAGGAGGCTCAGGTTGCTGGCCTGGCAGTTGCTCGCATCGAGTTGGAGTGCGGCGTGCATGGCTTTGGCACCTGCACCGCCAAGTTGTGCACCACCAGCACAGCCAGGTTGAAGCACTCCAGGTACTGCTGCGAATCCCCGTAGGCCGACACCTAGCTGGAGCTCTTGGGACCCAAACCCCAAGTGCACCCCGTCCAACCGTCCAACCGTCCAACCGTCCAACCGTCCAACCGTCCAACCGTCCAACCGTCCAACCGTCCAACCGTCCAACCGTCCAACCGCCCAACCGAAACCATGGCGCCTTTTTGACCTCCTCAATGCGGATGTTGCCAACAACCCTCATGCTGCCATCGTCCAGCGCGTCCTGCCGACTTCATGCGCCGCATGTGGGCGTACTACCTTTATGCAGCTGGCCTCGAGTGGCACCGGCCGCCGTCGGAAAAGCAGCTTCAAGGGTCGGGCTTCGAACATTGGGGCAATGTCGCCTGCGGAAAAGCACGCCACCACGCCACGAGCGAGAATAGGCGGGATGCGTTCGCAATTTTCTACAATATGCTTTTGGTGTCAGCTCCTCTAAGAAGCCGCTTGCGTTGTCGACTGTTTGGGTGTGTGAGCTACGATTTGCGATCCGGGACTACGCTAAAATACTGACGGCATGTCAACACATTTGTGTGTGGCTCTTTTGCCCACAAGCAAACAAAAACTCGAAAACGCATAGAAGCCAAGAAGCCGACAAGAAGCCCAGAAGACAAGAGACGAAAGCCAAACAAAAGCTCAATTCGCAATAACAAATTTGCACGCTCCCCACCGCATTTGCGTGTGCTTGTCATCGCTTGGCCCCAAGCATGATTTGCCGTGATTTGTCCGTGGCTTGTCGTGACACATCAGGCGCCATGTGCCTGCACTTTTCAATATGTAAATTTGCTCTCACACTTGTTACCAGTGCTTTCGGGGCAGTGTGCAAGCCTTTGGCTTGGGAGCTCATTCTGCAGGTCGCACATTGTTGGCCTCGTCGTCAACGTGAGCGGCGCCGTGGCTGTAAATGGAAGAAACAAACCTTATAAAGTGTCGCTACATCCTTTCCTCGGTGTCCCAGAATCACCCATTGAAAAGCGGAAAGCGGAGCTGTTGTTGTCGCTGGTGCTGCCCCTGCCGTGATTGCCTTCCGTCCAAACATAAACAGAGAGGGGCCGTGCAATTCTGTGGTGCTCTGCCGGCACGGCCACGTGTTTGAGCGCAGGTTAGGTGCCGCACCTCCTTGCCATCAGCGTGCAATGCGCGCACGCGCGCGCGAGTGGGGCACGCCCAATATTACGTCTCCCCCAACGCATCTCCATGCCCAAACACGCACGCTTGGCGAGTACAGATTTGCATGAGTGTGATTGCATACCTGTAAACATCTGATGAGGACACCCACAAATGCCGGGTCGATCTGCTGCAATCCATGGTTACTAGTTGTCAGAAGCGCCTGCATGTGAACGGACCAAGAGAGCACAGTAAGAACCATTGAGGCCAAGCATTCCATCCAGCACAAGACAGGCACAAAGGGCCAAAGCCTTGCTCCAGCTCTGTGACGTCCATGCCGTTCACCTGCCAAAGGGGCAACACCGTACTCCTTTTGAGCCTTCGCCGATTGCCTTCCTTTTTTGGTGTTGAAAGTTCGAGAGTCCTCAACAGCCGCCGAGTCACCGAGCCCTTTCGTGCCCTTCCGCGCCTCCACCAGCTCGTCGCCCGGCCGCAGCTCGTCGCCCACCCGCGCCGCAGGCGTGTTCGGCAGCACCTCCCACGCGGAGATCTGACTTGGAGCCGACACTTCAATCTTGTCTTCCCAACAGGCCAAAACTTCGGATTCGCTCCACTCGCCTCTGTGAGCTGCGGAGGCAACTCCCAGCGGATCCTGGAGACGAAAGTGTTGGCTCAACACCCAACTTGCTGCTCTCGACAGTCCACACCCAAACCCAGCCTCAGGCCGAGAGGTGGAGCGTCGTCAGGCTCAAACATGACCTTTGCATGGAATCCGGTAATATGAAGACACACTCTTCCTTGGGGGAGTACAAAGGGCAAGCTGCCAAATGTGGCAAAATGGGCAACCATGACATCATCATCATCATCATCATCATCATCATCATCATCATCATCATCATCATCATCATCATCATCGTCATCGTCATCGTCATCGTCATCGTCATCATCATCATCATCATCATCATCATCATCATCATCATCCTCATCATCATCATCATCATCATCATCATCATCGTCGCTGTCGTCATCATCAGAGATACCGATGATACCAACGGCGTTTGGCCTACCAACAGGGAAGCCAAATTGTTGGCAGCTCGCAATGGGTGTCCCCAAATGGCTAGGCTCTCTGAAGTGTGCGCAGCCTTCTAATGGCACAGTTCTCTACTTCGCGATGCGCCCGGGAGTCACGGCTTTTTCCTACAAGTGCACATGGCCGACATGGCCCTTTGTGTTGATGTGTCTTGCGTCAAGATGCTCTTGTTTGCCAAGCTGAAGCGATGGGTATTGGCAGGTGGGGCCAGGGTTCCCGTTCGGGGGGAAATCAACCACATCTAGGTCATGGAATTCTAAGCTCGTAAGAACAAGCATCTTTGGTTTTGTTGTGGCGTCCCTTTGGTTCCCTTTTGTTTCTTTTTGTTTCCTTTTGGTTCCCCCTTTGGTTTTGTTTTAGTTCCCTGTGATTTCTCTTTGGCTTCCTCCTGGACCGAAATACTTCATATTTGGAAATGCCATTGGGTGGAGTAGGAACAGCGGGCTTTCGATGTTGTGAGAGTGAATCAGGGGTCGCCGGCACAGAGCGCCGTAAAAAGATATCGTCATCAAGCAACTCTTTCTCTGGCGCATTTGGCGCGTGCCTTGCCTGGCCTCGTAGTAATCGAACTTATCCTCCTCCTGCAAATCTGCAAGACTTGATGCAGCACGCTTGCTTTGAATCATCTTGCCAGCTCCTTATTCTCCTTGTTCAGCTCTACCTCGTTCGCTGAGCTGAGACCAATCGACGAAACCACGACCAAAGCGATCCACCCGGCGAACTCACGCACCCCAACACCCAACAAGCGGTTGCTGGCCGGGCAGCTGTGTGGAACAGCACTGCGCAATGTCTCAGAACATCTCGGAGGAAAGCCTCAGCGTGATCCGGTTGCGATTGCCAAGGCCGGTTCGCATGGCCAGTTGCGTTAATTGCGTGGCGCAATTCGCATGGCCAGTCCGAGGCGTGGACCATTGTGTCTGGTGTCATCACGGCTTCATGCGTCTCAGGACGACAGGTCCTGAGACACGCGGCACGCGAGACACTCAGGACTCGCCGCGCTGGGAGCCCGGCAGGTTGGTGAGCATCCTCGTGAGCTCGATCATGAGCGCAAAGTGCTCCACGAACCATCCCTTGCCCGGAATGGCCCTCGGCAATGTCTTGCTTGCCTCTTCGGAATGGCGCCTCACTCACTCTGAGCGAAGCACTTGCAAATGCGGAAGACCCCGGAGTTGACGATGAACTCCTCAGTTCCAGGCGGCGTCAGATGGGCGCGACTCCGTGCACTTAGGACGCAGCCAGCAGCTCGTCCTGCGCCGCTGCATTGGCCAGGACCTGACAGCGAGCAGCTCGGGTGACCGTTTTCAACGACCCGCAGGGATAAGCGCAGAGACAAAGAACCCAATTTGAGGCACTTTCACTTGAGCCGCTGGCCCCGAGGACCTTCTGGCGGATCTCCAAAGTCGAGGTGGCCAGCATTGGGAAAAGATGGTCCTCGGCGGAAGCGGAAAGTGGGAGAAGTGCCCAGATGTGATGAAGGATTCTAAGGCCACAGCAGAACGGGCTCGCAGCATGCACTCGGGCTCTTCCTGAAAGTCCAAGCAAACGGAAGCGGCCGCGAGCAGCAGAAGCCGTCCTCGTCGAACTGCTTGATGCGAGCTGGATGGGCCAAGGAGTTGGCAATCAGCCTCATGCGCAGCTCGTAGCACCCACACATCCCGGTCCGAAAACGCGACACCTGGAAGCTGCTGGGAAAGGGGAAAAGGCGGGAAAAGGATGGCTCCCAAGGCGAGCCGTGCGCACAAGTGGCGCCATCAGGCTGGGCTGGAGCCACTCCGGACCTGAGGCACATCCGAACGTACAGACCCCTTGCAGCTCGAAACACGTGTGCAGGGTTGCCTCACGGGGTTGGTTCCATCATCATCTTAGCTCACCGCAGCCAAGAGAGATCTTGTACGCCACCAAGGGAGCTCGGATCTCAGTGGCGGAAGGCCAACGAAAAATTTGTCCAACACCCTGGGTCCCTTCCAATACAAGTTGGTGAAGCGGAAGATCCCTCGTCCGAAGCATTGCCACATGTCACGTGGCTGAGTCAGGAGCACTCAGCGGGCTGAGGAAGGTGAGGCCTCAAAGATGGATGTGCACTCATGATCGCAATATGTCGCCCTCTCACGCGGCTGAACACATTGCGATTTGGAGCTCGGCCGGTAAGGCACTCGACGACAGCCGCCACCAGTGACGATGCCTGCGCTCAGGTGCAAGGGAAAGAAGGAGCTCTGTACCCGGGTTGCTCTTCCCCGCTGAGGCAAAGGTCTAAGGTCTAATGAGAAAGTCAGTTAGGTTCCAAATCTGAGCGGCGGTCATACCAAAGACCCATGGAACCATGCGAGAAATCGTCACGGCACATATTTCTGACTGGCAGTCTCCCATACAAACCTTCGAGTAGCTCTACCTGGATACGCTGGAGGGCGAGCCTGCCCGGAGTTCAAGCAAAGCTTCACCACCTCATGGCGATGAACGCTGAGATCGGCCGAGGGACAAGCCAGGGATCAGAGAAATACGAATGTAACAAGCCAACCAACGCTCAAAGCCTGCCTCCAGCATACCCTGCGTCTTGCTGTGTAGCATCCCCAAAGTCCTCCGCAACTTGAAGTCTGTACTCACATCCAGAACCAATGGGCTCTGGACCTCAAAACTTCAGATAAAAAGATGCGAGGTCTTTCATTCATGTTGGCCCCCGTGAAAAAAAGCGGCTCTACAATGGGGTCCCTATTTCTCGCAACCCTGGCGCAAAGAGCCATCTCCTGAAGTCATGGCGCAGAGGTTGCAGCACCTCAGCCAGAGCTTCAAGATATCTGGGGCAAGGTCCGTGTCTGTACCCAAATGCTGAGACCGCGGCCAGGTTGTCCTTGGCTTTCTTGTCGTCCCCCAGCAAGTTCACATAGCTGGTCTGGGCAAGACGGCAAGACCCGGGGCTCGTGAACTGCTCTCATGCTCAGGGCTCTCAGGGCTCTCACTGAGGTGACTGAGGTGCCGGCATCCCAAGCTTCCAACTTCACCTGCATCCACTTTGCGTCAGACTCGATCCCATGGAGATGGAGCTTGGCTCCAAAAGGTGGAGTCGTGACATTGCCTCTCCACCACGCCCGGGATCCTCAAGCTCCACCTTGGCCAGGAAGTTGTTGGCGCAAACCAAGACCTGCAGTCGGATCGTCAGGCGTGGCAACTAAGCTTGGACTTGGGGCCATTGCCGCAGGCCCACTTGCCACGAAAATGATTGCGAGCGGGACTTTCGATTCGGGGTCCGACGGGTCCGACGGCTCCGCGACCCCTTCGCCCCCCGTCTGGGGCTCCGAGCGCGCAGCATGGCGATGAACTCCTCGGTGGGCTGAAGCTCTCCGAGCTTCCGCTCCATGCCAATGGTGTCCAACTCCTGGCACGTCATTTGAACTGACAGAGCCACATGTCACTTGCAGATGGCACTTTGTCCACTTCGGTTGTTTTCACTTGTAGCATAATTGTCATTGTAGTCATATTTGATGTGAATCATATTCTGCTTTCAATCATTCGTGGTAGACTCGGAACCGCCTTGGCCGCTCGACAACCCAGCCCGAGGCACCCTCATACAAGTGGAGGTCAGTTTGTTCAGGGTGATGCGGTTGGAGATGACCAGACCGCCGTCATCCTGACGCCGTCACTCGATCAAAACAGATTGAGGCTCAGCGCGGCCACAGAGACTGCGCTGGATCTCAAGATGGAACAGATCCATCTTGGACTCCAAAAATCCATGAAACATGTTCCAGGAGCCGCTAGCACTGTCAACCATCAATGTCAAGACTCGGATCAATGCTCCGCACGACGTTCAAGCTCAACTTGCCAAAGAGCCACAGCTTTCCGCTGAACCCAGTGCCCAGCGTCCCTTCTCATGGATTCCCAAGCATCGCCAGGGCAAGCCTTCGTTTACATACTTGGGATCCTGCAAGTAGCTGGTCTCAAGTTGGTTTCCTCTTGTCTGCGAGGCAAAAAAGATTGCTGTAGCTTTCACCATACCATGTGGACCGAAAGCAAGTCACTGAATCGCATGGATCCGACAAGCTGACGCGCCTTCATGTCAGGATTCACGGGGATTTCTCCGTCGTCCCCACGGAACTTCTCCTTGACACGCCTCGGGCCGATCCCGCAACGATTGAGACCACACCAAAAACACGGCTGAGTCCGAACGATCAATGCGGACTGCTGGTGAGTGAGGCTGATGTGAGTGGTTGAACAATTATACTACCCCCTCAGGCCTCAGGTGATACGGTAATGAACTCAGATTGGCAAACGGGCTGTCTCTGAACACGTCAAGCTTCAAGGGTCCAAGAATCATCTGGCAGACCTACAACAATGTGATAAAGATAGGACAGTTTCTTGCTGGCTCGGACTGACGCTTTGCCGCTCCCTGCCGAGCGGCTCCGCAAAGTTTGTGAGGGCCGACATAGCCAGCATGTAGCCTCATGCGGCGTGGAAGAGGCCCCAACCGCAGGTCGAGTACAACTCCAAGCACACAAGGGCCGGCATCCCGGCACTGCTGCTCACAATATACATGTCAAAATATATTCAACATAGTAGATGTACGAATATAGTCATCAATCTATATATATATATACCTATATATAATGTATATAATATATAGTATCATATCAAGCAACTCCACTCCGACTGCGCTTGCTCCGCTTAGAGCCCCTCTGGGGCCCCGGCGGTTCCTGGACACGGCGCTGCTGCTCCAAGGGCCCGTGACCGTGGCCAGCGTCTCCCTCACCGGGACCTGCTCCTCCGGCTGAGAAGCGCTGGCCGCGGACCTCCGGATCGTGGTCAGCAGCTCCTCAGGGCACGCGGCTGGCCAGCGTGGATCAGGGTGGGATCAAGGGGTTTTACCCCTGTGATACAAGGGAATCTCCCCCGTTTTGTGGGGGGGGTAGTGTTTGGGCAGCCCTTATTGTTGTATCACAGAAGTTGTCATTTCCGCACATAGACGACACAGCAAGCCGACACAAGGCCCAAGGCGCGTTGATCACCGCGGACTCGTTGAGGAAGTTGTACAGCAAGCTGCGGTCCCGGCTGAAATTTGCAACCAGCAAAAATCCGTAGACCTGCCAAGTGGCAGGCATGGCCGTGATTGCCAATCACCATCCCTTCGGATTTCTCTCGTGTCACGAGAGAAACCAAATTGACAATGATAAAAAAGGCAGTCGCGACTGCTGCATTTGCGAAAAGAATGCTTCAATTGTCACAAGGATGTAAAAAGTCTGTGTGCCCTTGTGTTTGCGTGCTCTTGTCTGTGTGTGTGCATGCGTTTGTGTGCGTGGTGTGTGTCCTGTGTCTGGTCTGTGTCTGTGTCTGTGTCTGTGTCTGTGTCTGTGTCTGTGTCTGTGTGTGTCTGTGTCGGTGTCTGTGTCTGTGTTTGTGTGTCTCTCTGTCTCTGTCTCTGTCTCTGTCTCTGTCTCTGTCTCTGTCTCTCTCTCTCTCTCTCTCTCTCTCTTTCTCTCTCTCTCTCTGTCTCTGTCTCTGTGTCTGTGTCTGTGTCTGTGTGTGTGCGTGCGTGTGTGTCGCGAGGGGTTTGCAATGTGTGAGATTGCATGTTGCGTGTTCGATTGTTCGAATGTCTGTGTGTGTGTCTGTGTGTTTGCTTGTTTGTGAGCTCCACGCTGCTGGCGGGCTTGACCTTGCGTTCGGGTGCCCGTGTTCACGTGTTTGCCCATGTCTGTGTGTGTGTGCTTGTCTGCTTGTGTTTATGCTGCTTCTGCATGACATCTCTGTGTGTCTGTGTTTGTTAGTTTGTTGTTTGCATTTTGCTGTGTGGGTGTGTGACGTGCTTGTGCTTGTGTCTGGGTGTGTCTTTGTTCCGACTATTTGCTTGCGTGCTTGTACCGACAGGAAAAACGTGCCTGGACGTACGTGTCCTCGCAGCCTTTCATGGCAAAGAGGCAGGTGGGCACCACGTTGCTCGGGGCGATCGCTTGCTGCACCCTGGCGCTTCGATTCGGCGCCGCGTTCGGAGCCGAACCAGCTTAGGGTGTGAAGGGAGCTTGCAAGAAAACCAAGCAAAGCCCTTAAAAAAGGAGGCCCTGCATTCTCAGACACCATTGGATTGCTCCTGGAATTCAAACTGTGCAGTCTAGGAGGATCCCGTTTGAAACCAGCATGACACTCACTGAGCACTGCTCTGCAATATGGTCATCCCAACCGTTGAAAAGCTTTTCCAGCAGCTTGCTGAAGAACGCCCACCACTTGTTCTCCACCAATGAAGCTCATGCTGCAAGCCACAAGATCATCGAATTCGGGGCCCTGCCCAGAACCCACGCGGCCTGGGCCCCATCTCGTGGTGCGCCAGGAGAAGGCACATGGTTCGGATCACGTTCCTGCGAGAGAACAGAGCTGGAAAAGAGGCGAGCCAAGAACATGCAGTCCGGAGCTCTCCACAAGAACTACGAGGCCCTGAAGGCCTCGGCATGGCCTCGGCATGACGCATGTCTTACATGCGGGCCTGTAGATGAAGTTGGCGGGCTTAATGGCGCAGTTGCCCAGGAAGCTGAGTAGATCCATCTGGTCCACATGCAGCTCCTCCGGAGTGATGTTGGGGTAGATGACCCGCTGCAGCGTGCGCAGGCCCACGGTGCCGGAGTGGAAGGCCGCGTTGATGTCCTCCTGGGGCAGTCGCAGCAGGCTGAGCAGCAGCTGCATGCGGGTGGCCGGGAAGATGAGGCTGGCCATGGAGTGGTCCCCCCCGGTGGGGGACCCCACCAGCGCCGCGATGCCGAAGACGGCGCCCATGAGCAGCTCGATGCACACCTCCCCGTTCAAGCCTCTGCCGGCCACCGTGATGAAGACCAACAGCGCCTCCACCATGCCCGCCTTGGCCATGCGCTCGTGGTACTCGTAGCTGGCCCTCGCCAGCTCCGACAGCAGCGCGCACTGCAGGGCGGCGATCTGATAAAAGTGCTCGTCCCGCTCCTCCGCGTTCAAGTTGGCGTTGATGTCCGCCATCAGTAAATCCAGGTGGCTCAGCACCACCCGCTTGAAGTCCGGCACCCGGGCGATGCACAGCAACGCCGACAGGCAACGGGACACAGTGTGTGGGGAGAACAGCATATCCCGGGCGGACAGCAGCAGCTGCACGATATCCGCACCTTTCATGATCTGCGCCTGGATCGCGGATCGCGGATCCGGGCCGGGGGGCCAACCCGCTTATCAACAAAAAAATATCAAGCTTGCTGGCTTTTGCATTGGAAGCTTTGCAGCTTGATTCCACTGCGTATGGCAAGCGGATGAGGTGGGCAAAAGGTATCCGGGGCTCATGATGTTCATCTTCGCAGCTTGGCAATGTGCAGGTAAAACAAGTCACGACAAAACGGCATGGACGCCCAACAAGCAAGATGTGCAACGAGTGTAAAACACTGCGAGTTCATCATCCCGCAACAGCACAGACCCCAATACTCACACCCTCCACCAGCACCCTATGCAACGGCACATTTCCCAACCAGAACTCTCAGTCTCACTTGCCAGCAACCTGTAAGAGCACGGCCCACAGCACCCGGCAACAGCAAAACCGCCCAGCATCCGCGACTCAAAAAGCTCTCCAGCACCCGTCGCCATGCAAACGCTGTAGTAGCAGAGTAATATCGGAGGAGTTTAGAAGCTTCAAAATCTGCATTTATCCTTTCAACCTCATGCGTGCTTAGCAGCCGAGCCATTCCAGCACTAAGTCAACACTTCATTCTTCGGCTTTTCAACGACCAAACCCTTCTGGATTGAAGATTCAAATCCTGATTTGCGGCCCAGAAAAAGGCCAACTTGCAATCCAGCATGCAATTTCTCGAAGAACCAAACTGGCCATGACAACGGCAAGGAGTTGCGGAATCGTGCGCTAGGCAGTCTGCAAAGAAAGCGCCGGAGGGAAATCAAAAGATCTGCCTCGTTGGAAACTAATCAGCGTCTCCACGCAGAGAAACTCAATCCGCTTCTGAGGCACATGCTGTCCAGATTCATGCGGTCAAGCTGACAATACGAGATAATGGTAACTGGCATGCAAGCTGAGGGCAAAGAAAGGATGGGCATATGATGTGGGGGGAGAAGGTTCCCCTGCCAAGGATGGGAGGAGCCGAGGTTAAGGTGGACATGGGTGTATGCCCGTGTGTGTGTGTGCGTGTGTGCAGGCGAGACATCGCTTCAGCTCAGCAACAGAAATAATAGGCGCCTGAGCTGGAGTGGCCCCTGAGCAAGGAATATAAGGACCTGCAGAAGTTGCAGGTGAATTCAGCGGCCCCGATCCAACAACAAGCGTCACACCCGCTTTTTTACAGGCATCGCAGACAGCTCGAGAAGGCACGGCTGGAGGCAACGCAACCTTTTGGCATCGCCTCTGATTGGAGGAGCTGGACTACGTTGGCGACAAGGCCAGGGCCTGGCCTTTGAGCGCGGAGTAAACCGAAGTCACCGAAGCGGCTGAGACCAAGGCTTTGGACTGTCGAGAGTGACTCGGAGAAGGGCATTGTGATTGAAGTACTTTGGGGTTTCTGGGGCGTGGCATAAGCGATACGCCTTTGCGGACAGTGCAAAGGTGGAAAGAACCAACTGGGGAATAGTCCCAAGCTGTGTGGCGAACAGGCCATCAAGGCGGAGATGTTCGACATGAAGCGGAATATATAAGGAGAAGCCTGATGGAAGGATTCTGAAAGGAAGAAGGATTCTGAAAGGCTGCAATGAGAACCGCAGGCTTGGCTTTCGACGCGAACAAGCACAATGCCCAACAGGGGTACCAGTCGCCCCGCTTGGAGCAAGGTTCGGGATAACACAGCAAACGGTGGGGTGGTATGATTCAGGGCAGTGTCCCATTTAGCCTCTACAAGAACCAGGAGGTTCAAATCCTCGCACCACCAACCCAAACCGACTAATGAAGGTCGAGTGGGGGTCAAACGAAGCACTTCCTGCCATGGCGGGAACAAGGCATGCAAAACAGCACCGATGCTGGCAAGTTCGACGTCTGCGTCATGCGCCCCAAACTTGCAAACGCCACCAACTTAAGATGTCTCGTGAAACTCCCAGCGAGGGAATTCGGACTTTGCCTGGATCTGCTTGGCGCTGTGCAGGATGTTGGCGAAGAAAAGCACCACGGCCTCCCCGGAGCTTTTGTCGATCTGCTCGCTGTAGAACAGATCGAAGAGCAACTTTGGGAGGCCTGGCAAGGCACGTGCGCAGAACCTGTCTCGAGGTTCAGGGCTCAGCGCCGCGGGCATTATGCTCCCTGGGCTGGTCACTCTGATACTGCCCGCATCACAACACATGCGAGATCACGAAGCGCGTCTCACACTAGGCCTGGAGCACTAAGCAAACACTCAGCGCTACCTATAGTGGTCGAGACGCATCCGTGATTGTGCCTGCGTCGCCAGGGCACTTTTGCATCGTCGCGACGATGCCATCGCCACGATGCGCTACCTCGTGATCCTTGTGGGTCACACTGCCTGCATCATCATTGGCGCCATCTCATTCGTCACTGATGCCTGTAGCTTTCACGCCTTATGCATCACCATGCTTCTGTTTTGCACCAAGTTGCCAGCGATTCTTCCCCCTCTGCTGCTGTCTGGAGGCGGGTCCACGCTGGTATGTTTCTTCGTCGCATGTTTTGGTTGACACGCCCCCCGGCAACTTTTCCAAAACCAACTGTTTCAAATTAGCGCTTCGCGCAAACATGCTGCTGCGCGGGTGGACAAATGCTTTTAGGGAGCGTGGGCCGGCTGTGTGTTTCTCGTCTTGTCGGCTGTTGGAAATCCATCCACAATCTACTCCCGTTGGCTCAAGACCTGAGTTGTCCACTTTGCTTGTGCAGCGTGACGCTTCTGACACGCAGAGCAATTTGCTGTTGCCATTGCATCCAGTCCACGCAGTCTTTGCACCTGCATAGCCCAGTACCGGGCGGTTTTCGCTCGCTTCGCGGAAACGGGATTGCAAATAATCCTGGGTCAAGACCTCACTGAGTGAACCCACCACATCCATACTATCCATACCCAGAGAAACTCGCAAGACCTGTTCTAAGAGGCAGCGGCTTGCAAACTGATCTCACTTGGATGCACATTGTGACATGGAACAGAAATAGCAGCGTCAATCCTCAGCTGTAGCTGCTTAGACAGTCCTACCGGCTGCAAGACTTTGTGCCACGCAAGGCACGCAAAAGTCATGTTAGGGCCCCCTGTGACGACATGTATTCACGTTTTTCGGAGGGAATCCTCGCAACACCCGGCTTTCACAACAGTCTCGCGGTAGGCACGCAGGGGAAGTCGTGTGTTCTTTTGCTTTGGGACAAGGGGGGATGTTTCGAGGGCCTAGATCCACGAAGCGCTGGAAGCTGGGCAGGTTGTGCTCCAGGCTCACCAGAGCGATGCAATGGATGCAGCATCTCAGCACGAAGGGGTCGTGGTCCGTGAGGATCACCTGGGGGGAGGGTTGTGGCGTTTTGCGGCTGCGAAAGCTGAAGCAGAAGGCTTCAAGCGCTTTTTTTGCGGTGCACTTCGTGAACTTATTGCGCTGCTTGCGCGTTTTCTTCGCTTTTTTCTTCGATTCGCCTCCGGGTCGTTCTTCTCTTTGCCCTTCTTCATGGCCTTGATGCGCTGCGGCTGACCGGTGGACACCCGGGGCAGGAGCCGCAGGAGGCTCTCCAGGTAGTCCTCCTCGCACTTCCTCTCCTCCGAAACCCCCAGGAAGATGCGCCGGTTCTCTCGGAACTCCTGAGCCAATGCGATGTCCGTCAACGAGCCAATGCGCCCTCAGGCAAAACAGCAAAAGGGTCTCCAAACACGGTTGTTAAAAAAAGCCCAGGTCTCCAGGAGGTTCTGCAGCAGGTAGATGCCCAACTGCTGCAGCTGCAGTTGGTCGGAGAACATGAAGGCCGAGAACGTGTCCAGGGCCCCGTCCATCCCCAGCTGCGGCCGGAACTCGTCGGAGCAAGCGAAGGGGATCAGCGCCTTGGGCAACGCCCCAAGAATGACCAAGCGCATCCAAAGGGATCATGTCTCAAGCAGAAGTCCCTTTTCATGCAACGGGATTCGCATCCAAAGCGTCCCAACCCTCCCAACACGGACATCGGCGCGGCCTTCAGCGAGTTCACGATCAAGTCGATGTGGGTCTCGTTCTCGCAGGCCGTGAGTAGCATCTTGACGCCCTGCGCGATTCGATACATCACTTCACGGATTTCACCGATGTCACTTCGCCAACACCCGAACGAGGTTTGGTTTTCCTTTTTTCGCCTTCTCTTGTGCAATGCTCCTTTGGGAGGAGCCAGACTCGGCCAGGTACAGCAGGCAGAGCAGGCAACAGAGCCGCACGTGCTCCACCTGTGAATTCGGAGCTCCAATCGTTGCCAGCTTCAGGAACACTTCACAAGCCGAGGTGTAGGATAAAATATCGGCCCATATCGGCCCATCCCGCCTTGGACTTGCTGTACATTTGGATCACCAAGCGCACCCCTCCTGGCTTTCCTTTCCTGACCCCTCTAAACTCTAAAGAATGTCGCAACAAAAGAAGCCTTTGGCCCTGTTCCGACAGGTGATCTTCAAAGACCCAAAGCCTCCCAAAGGCCGAGAGTTGTCCCAAACGTGCTTTGCCCGAGGAATTCTTGGCGGTCCTTGAAGCACAAACTCCTGGTGGGCATCTCCGTGGTAGCAGAAAGCCGAGCACATCAGCGCCAGATGGGGCGCCAGCCGGGGATCTTCCTCATTTGCACTCCGTGCGACTCCGTGCGACTCCGTGCGACTCCGTGCCTTCCGTTTCTTTTCGCAAACACTCCTGGCGTCTTTGGGAAGTCGGGCCATGTCGGGCCAGACAGCCGAACTGCGGCCCAGGTCTCCAAATATACCACCCAGGCATCGGTGAGCACAGAGAAAATCATCTCCTGCCACAATCGAAGCACTCCCTTCCCTGCATCCCACATGCTTAGCCCAGGCTTTTCCTGCAAAACTCAAAGTGCTCTCCTCCAATAGGGTGGCGCGGACCACCGCGTCCGTGTTGGCCACTTGGCGGCAAAGGTCACAGAGGTAGATGGCCGACACGATCGACAAGGATTCCAGCCGTTCCTGACGTGGAAACACAGCATGTGTGCCAGATGCAGAGACTGAGGCTGGTGCATAGTTGAAGATATGCCGCTGAAAGCCGCACGCCATCAGCATACCTTGAAATTCAGCCAACACATCTCAACCGTCGGCTCTGATTGCATCTAAGCCGCTTCCGGACTTTCCATCAAGCTTCACCTCGGCTCTTGCCGTGCCATGCTTTCTGCGAGTGGACAGAAATGCCATACAAACGAGAGGCGATGTTGTGAAAGAACTGCATCAAGTAGTCCACCAACACGGAGTCCTGAGATTTGGAGACCGCCTCAGCAGAGCATATTCCTTGTTCCCACAAGGCCACAAAGTCCGAAATAAAATCAGCAAAGTGATGACGTGACAAGGCGCAATGCTCAAAGCCTCCAGGTACGGCTTGTGCGCAAGATTGGCCTCAGCGTTGCCACATGTTGCCACCCATGGGCTCATCCGGTGCAACAACTTTGCTCGTGTCCAAGCACTTTCTAACGCTAGCTGCTAGGCTTGCTTTTGAAGCAAGCCTAGCTCGAGGGACGAGGCCGTTTCGGCTCGAGCTCTGCCCGGGCCTAAAGCGATGCTCAAGCGGGAAGCAGGCTGCATCGCGCGGATTGTTCATCTTAAAACTTGCGGGCCACTTCATGAAAGACATGAAAGACATGAAACACGGTGGAATCTCGACATGATCCACATGGGCTGAGAGGCCGAGGGCCGGCACGTCACCCTGGGCCAGGCCGTTGGGTCAAGGCCCAGTGGTGTCACCTGAAGTGGCCCGCCTGTCCTATGGCCAATCCCAGCTCGATGCGCCGGCGTCACGCACCGCCCACGTTTTCCCCTTGTGGTTTCTTGTTTTCTTGTTCCATTGTGTTTTCCCATTGACACGATATGTCTATTGACTTCCTTTGACCCCCATGCGTTCCGCCCAGGACCTGTTGGGCTTAGGGTTTAAGCTTATCGGGTGCGTAGGGTCTTTAGGGTTTGGGTTTGGCCCACCCCAAAACCCCAGATCTGCGCATGCGTAGGGTTCACGTTCCGAGTTAAGGTGGGCTGGGACCCCATAATCTCCCATGCGCCCAACCCGTCCCGGGCATCGCCGGTTGGGGCCGATCCGATCGATTGGCCGCTTCATTCGAAGCGACAGCGTCACAGCGCTCACAGCGCTCACAGCGTCGCCAGCATGCGCATCACCTCGGGGAAGCCGGGCCGGTCCCTGGGGTCCTGGGCCCAGCAGGTCTGCATCACGCTCACCTCGGAACGAATCGAATTGGAAAAAAGTAATCCTTGAGAGGTGTTGCTCTCTTGGGAGAATCCGGAACTCTTCTTTCCGTCCCCAGCTCAAATTTCAACTCGGCAAGAGGGGAAATGGGGGGATGGTGCTTGATTGGAATCCTGTTTGTTGTGTCACTTCGTGAAACGCAGACCTTACCTGTATCCACATCTTTGTTTCTTCTTGTTTTTGTTGTTCTTCTTTCTTCTGGAGCTCGGGGCACGATTTCCGGCGGGGTGTCCGGGGGCACCGCGTCCATGTCCGGGCGCACCCCGGCCAAGGTGTACTTCCCCACGTCCGCCGGCTCCTCCTCCTCGAAGGGCACCTCGCGGCAGATGATCTCGTAGATCACCTCGCGTACTGCTCCGGTTTCGCTTCCACGGCGACATGCTTTATGTTACATATTGAAGTGGCTGTGGTCCTTTTGGGGAGGGCGGGCCAGAGGACGTGCGTGACAATGCTTCAGCCAAAACCCAGCATTTCTCTCTTCAGCCCACATCCCTCACACTGGCCTTCCCCAATCACAAAAGCCTCCCTTAGCCACAACTCGCCACAACTCGCCACAACTCGCCACAACTAGCCACAGCTACAACTAGCCACAGCACCATGGCGTAGGAGAAGACGTCCACCTTCTCGTCGTACCTCGAGGAGGTCCACATCTCCGGGGCCATCCAGTGCTTGGTGCCCGCCTGCGCCGTCATCTGGCCCCACTGGCCCTCTGGCGCCTGCAGCTTGGCCACACCGAAGTCGCAGACCTTCACCAAGGGCAGATCCTGGGCCCAGCCGCGCGGCATCTCTGCCGTGTGCAGCAGAGCACATTGCTTTTTGCTTGCCTTTGCTTGCTTTGTTTGCTTGCTTTGTTTGCTTGTTTGCTGGCTTGTTTTTGCTTTTTTTGCGTTTGGACATCCAGCCGGAGCCTGCGGGCCCAGCACCGGCTTGTCCAGTAGCAGGTTCAGGCTCTTCAGGTCTCGGTGGATGATCATGGGCTCGAAGGTGTGCAGGTAGCACATTGCAGCCGCCACGTCCTTGCCTCAGATCACAGCTTGGCCTCTTGGCCGCTTGGCCGCTTGGCCTCTTGGCTTCTTGGCCTTTTGGCTTGAACTTCCCACTTCCCCCCAGGTCATCACCGTTTCCTGCGTTGTGGAATCAGCCAAGCGTCCATGTACAGGTTCAAAGGAACTACACATGACTTTAAAAAAGTGCCTTCCGTATAGGATGTGAAGTGGGCCCACATGCTCGCCCCAAACCAAAACAGAAGGGACGCCCCGTGAACTGCTTTCTTTTTCAGATTCCTGGGCTGCGTTGATCAAAAAACGACAGAAATTGCTTTTTAAAAAATGCAGGCCCTATGGCTGGGCAGTCCAAGCTTGGGGACATAGGGCCTGCAATTTTGTTTGTTTGTTTGTTTGTTTGTTTGTTTGTTTGCAAAACTCGAGGTTTCTTGTATTTTTCTCAGCATCCTCGTCTGCAACAGAATGCCTTCAGCTCTGTGACTTTCGTAGCCAGCTCTGCATTCAAGCCAGCCGTAGACATCGAACAGATTCTCTAGCTTTGATTGAGATGGGTTCAGTCGACCCAAAGAGAATGCTTGAAAAATGTTGTTTAGATGTTTACTGATTTGTAAGGACAGTTCTATTGGAAAGGAATTTCCATGTAACATGTATGTTGAAATATAATATTCATAATTTCAAATCTAAGCTGAAATATTCAATTTGATTGGAGCCTGTCCTTAAAAAGTTCCAGTTCATTTCAGATAGACATGGGATAGAACTTGGTCAAGATGTTGAGTAGATTTCAGAAGGAAATAGTTCAGAGATCCTAAAATCGTGTGACTTTGGTTCACTAGCCCCAGCACTACCATGGTCAGAAAACACTGTAAAACACCGTGTATTGTAGCGTGTGCTGTAAAACTCAGTGTTTTGTAGCGTGTTTTCGCACTCAGTTCACATCTCCACCAACGGCCGCTCTCCAAAATTCAGCTTGAATTTGAACAGGAATTAAATAGGACTCAATAAGGAAACACCTGATCAGAATCCTACTGGACAGCATCTTGTTAGAATTTAGATGTAAATCCTTGCCCATTAGAACATTACAATAACATAGAGTTTATGCACAATTTGATAAGGAATGTATCCAATCACAGCTTATGTCTCATAACATAATTTTGAATTAGAATAATTCTGTTTGAATTGATAATTTACATAGTATGTTCTTTCCAATCGAAAATACTTACAACTCAGCTGACATGTAAACACACATTATGGGAACATAGTTCAACTCGAGTTTCCATTGGAATAAACTACACTTGCATGCCACACAATCAACAGACTGTAAATGTAAATAGCTGTGCTGCAAGAACGCCCCCAGGAATCTGATAAACGC